CATTTTATTGAATTGAGTGTTTTTTAACAGTTTTTAACTGTTAAAAAACAGTTAAAAACTGTTCTTTAACAGTTTTTAACTGTTAGAAAACAGTTAAAAACTGTCAAAACTTAGAACCATAGTTCAGCATAAATGACTCACTACTGCAAGAAAAATTCAGACTTTACGTTAATGTGATTGAAATTTGGTTGGAGGGTCTCTGCTGCTCTCTACTGGTAAGAAATAGTAAAAGGCGTCATCTGATAAAATTTTTCCACATCTATCTATCTATCTATCTATCTATCTATCTATCTATCTATCTATCTATCTATCTATCTATCTATCTATCTATCTATCTATCTATCTATCTATCTATCTATCTATCTATCTATCTATCTATCTATCTATCTATCTATCTGTCTGTCTGTCTGTCTGTCTGTCTGTCTGTCTGTCTGTCTGTCTGTCTGTCTGTCTGTCTGTCTGTCTGTCTGTCTGTCTGTCTGTCTGTCTGTCTGTCTCTATCTATCTGTTTGCCTGTCCGAGGAGACAAATTTCTTGATACTTGTTCATAACAAAGTTAATCAAAGTTGAATGCCTTTGCGTTGAGTTGAGACTTTAAAGAACGTTTTTAACTGATTCTTTTGACAAGTTATAACTATTTAAGAAGCCTCTTCTGGAAAGGGCATTTTTCAGAATATTTAAAGACTTCATCATATGAAAGACTGCTCCATTCATAGTATTTAGAGACATAAGTATCAAGCTCCATAGCAGTTCTCATACAGTTCTTTATATTTCTACTGCAAACCACAATTATAACTGACTCTGGTACCCCAAGCACTTGTGGAAAAACCTTCTCAGAAAAAGCCTTTCCCTATGCTTCACCAGTAGAGGGCAGCACTTAAATCTTCACCACGTGTAGACTCAGGCTCTTTTATGATAGTGAGATAGATATATGTCCCTAAAATAGCTCAAGCAATAACTGTATCCATACAATACATTTCTACACTTAGCAGGCTGAGCTTCTATGATGTTGAATTTAGAGTCTGCTGCACACCAGAATAGCAATTGGTACGGTTGCCACTGATAACAATTCTGAAGAGAGTAGTGTCTGTGCATGCAGAACCCAATATTAACTTTTGAGATTTCTAGAAGGCCGGAAACAAGATCCTTGAATATTTTTAGACTGTCAGAAGCTGAAAAACATACAAGGAGAAAACAGAGCAACCTGACTGGTCTCAGTAACAGTAATCAGACGCTGTTACTAAGACCGTTGCTCACTTTAGAAGTCTGAATGAATCTCAGACATACCTTGAAAATAACTAATTTTAGATCCTCATTTTCTTGTGCATCACAATTCACAATGAAGAGTTGTTGCTGGGCAGTCTGGTAGTGCTCATGAATAGTACACGCAGCCATTAGAAAAAGATACAATTTTTGAGTTTGAAGAGCACTGATCCAGCTAAAAATTTATATCTCAATGTCAATATCTCAGAATCAGCCAAATCTATACCTCTGTGCAATTCAAATCCTTGTACCTCTCTACAGATATTTGAAATTGCTGTGAAATATCAATGTACACCATGCCAATTAAATGGAAACATTGGTTTAGTAATTGCTAGAACATATAACTTGTCCTTTTCGTAACATATGAAGTTTTACAATTTGATACAACATTAAACTGATGTATACTTTGTGAGGCAGAGATGTTACTTTTCTTTTTTTTTATTTCAGATGCTTTTGCCTCACATGGAAGATCCAAACATGCTTTTGATGGATGGATGCCTGTAATATCCAGAAGACCATGGAAGGAGAAATCTTAGTTAACTTCACCAGAAATAACACTACGAAAGACGTTCACCTGGTGACTCACAGTCTATGGGAGGTGATTACCATTGCGACTGTGTCTGCCATTGTCAGCCTCATCACCATTGTGGGCAATGTTCTTGTAATGGTCTCCTTCAAAGTCAATAGTCAACTGAAGACAGTGAACAATTACTACCTATTGAGTCTGGCAGCAGCAGACCTCATCATAGGGGTTTTTTCCATGAATTTGTACACGTCTTACATCCTGATGGGCTACTGGGCATTAGGAGACCTGGCCTGTGATCTGTGGTTAGCAGTGGACTATGTAGCCAGTAATGCCTCTGTCATGAACTTGCTTGTGATCAGTTTTGACAGATATTTTTCCATTACTCGGCCTCTGACTTACAGGGCCAAACGGACTCCGAGACGAGCTGGAGTTATGATAGGTTTAGCTTGGTTGGTGTCTCTGATTTTGTGGGCCCCACCTATTCTTTGTTGGCAATATTTTGTTGGGAAAAGAACTGTTCCTGAAAGACAATGCCAAATTCAGTTTTTTTCTGAACCCGTTATAACATTTGGGACAGCAATTGCGGCCTTTTATATTCCTGTGTCGGTTATGACAATCCTCTACTGTCGAATCTATAAGGAGACAGAGAAGAGGACAAAAGATTTGGCAGAACTTCAGGGGGTCAATTATCAATTGGACTCTGTTGAAGCACAGCCTCAGAAGACTATCATAAGATCATGTTTTAGTTGTAAATTAAGATCAACTTCACATGATCAGAACCAAGCCTCTTGGTCATCTTCCAGCAGGAGTCATGCCAAATCCACTGGATCCACTAGTGATGAGTGGTCCAAAGCCGGTCAGTTGACCACCTTCAATAGTTATGCCTCCTCCGAGGATGAGGACAGGCCAATGTCTCCGGTGGGGCACAAGCCCTCCATCAGGAATCAGGCTTGCGAACCAAACAGAATCATTGTGGGCAGTGAGAGTGAGCAGCTCAGCAGTTTTGATGATGACAGCTTCTTCCAGGCACGTCCCAAAAGCAGCTCTCAGAAGAGTAGCAAATGTGTGTCCTACAAGTTTAAACCTGTGTCCAAAGATGGTCATGTGGAACACCAGAGCAAAAACGGAAACACCAAGTTGGTGTCCTCAACATTCTCCTCGGCTGAATCTATGAGCGTTCCCTCAACCTCCTCAGTGTCCAAGCCTACAGATACATCTCTGAAAAGCCAGATCACCAAGAGAAAAAGGATGGTGCTGATCAAAGAGAGGAAGGCAGCTCAGACTCTTAGTGCTATCTTATTGGCATTCATTCTTACATGGACTCCGTACAACATCATGGTGTTGATTTCCACCTTTTGCTCAGACTGTATCCCACTCTCCCTCTGGCACCTGGGCTACTGGCTGTGCTATGTCAACAGCACCGTTAACCCTATGTGCTATGCTCTGTGCAACAAGAACTTTCAAAAGACATTCCGCATGCTGCTGCTCTGCCAGTGGAAAAAGAAAAGAATTGAGGAGAAACTGTACTGGTATGGACCGAACACTACAGTTAACTCCAAGCTCACATGATTGACTATTTTTTGTAAGTTCTGGGATCTTACCAACAATCTTGGCTTAGTAAACTTGGATTCTACACATTAGTGTAAATCAATTCATCCGGTGTCATTAAGAGTAACTGCTGCTAAAATCCTTAAAAAAGAATGACTATCTCCAGTGTTTTACAAACATCACATTTTTTCACATTTTGTCATTTAACTGCAAACTCCATTGTTTTCCACTGGGATGTTTTGTACAAAGGTGACATAAAGCAATTTGTAATGTTAGGCAGAAAGACAATTTTAACAAATAAAAAAATAAAAATTGTAGCATGCATTTGTTTTTCAATATTTGCTGCTACAAGAGTCTTTTGGGGAATGTTTTAACAATAATGAAAATCAAGAGATGGAAATTTATGCACATTCAAACGAACTCAAAAGTTAAAGAGAGTACCAATGAACATGAGTGTTCATTTCTTTTCAAAATGCCTCTTGTGGATTTAGATCTGTAGTTTACCTTAAAAATTCTAACTCATTAATATGCTTTGATTTAAACAATTTAACTGTAACTCTGGTTGCATATTTCAGGTCATTGTTTTCCCAGAACGTAAACCTCAGCTCCAAACAAATTTTTCTCTTTTTTTGCAGTCTCTGTTAGGTTTACTTCTGGGATTGGCTTATATTTAGATCCAATTGACTTCCTAAAAAACATAATTAATCCCCAAAGTATAGTGCTACTATGACCACGTTTCTCCATGGGAATGATGTGCTCAGGATGATGCGTGGGGTTAGTTTTCTCCACAATGGTCTGCTGCAACCTACGTGGCTGGTGGCAAACTGGAAGTGTGAGCTCTTATGGTTTTCTGTTAGCAATATTTCTTCACCAATGCTATCATACAGACCTCCTAGGTCTTCTCAGAACATCTCTGTTAATACTGAGAATAAATTACACTAATTTACTAATTAAGTGACATTTGATAACAGTTGGACACTGGATATTAAGAGTATCAAGTAAAACAGTAAAACAGTAAACAGACTGAGTATAGATGTAAACCAGAGTAAGGATATATATATGTGTATATATATATATATATATATATATATATATATATATATATATATATATATATATATATATATATATATATATATATATATATATATATATAAACAGCTAAGGACCAGGTATCAAACCTTATCCAATCCAAGACACAACTATGTACACTTCTTGTCATATAAAATCCCACAAAAAAACAGTTTTTTTTGGTTGTAATGTGACAAATTGTGAAAAAGTTTGAGACGTTTAAATACTTGAGAGAAACTGTAAATGTGATATTGTAAATAAGTTTAAAAATAAAATCACATTTCCCATCAGAGTCATGATCAAGACATGATGTTCATTTTGTTACCTATTTGCCGTTAGATGCAATTTGGCAACCTAAAATCCGCTAACTTTTTTACAACATTGTGTTGCTAGCTAGATTAAATTTTAAAAGGCTAATGTTTTACATGTTTTGTTGTTCAAACATTAACATCTGTACTTGATGATTATTACAAGCCTTTATATGCTTGTCTCCATGCTTTGTCAATCAATTAAATATAAATTCGGCTTTAAAAGTTTCACATCCTACTTGTCATACTGAGGATGCTTTTTAAGACGAACGTATAGATCAATCTAAATGACTTGCTTTTATTGTCAATGTTTACAGTAGGAGGGAGGTTGGGGAATACCAACTTTTATTGCTGTCATCCTCAAGATTAGGTTTTTCACTGGAATCAAAAAACAACTTTTTTATTCAAAATGCTGCTAAATCCTATATTTCCTGCTTTTCTGGCCAAACTGCAACATACTGTGGGGATATTTTTTTGACTGAGTTTATTTTCTTAAAGTATAAGCTATTATCTTACACAATAAATTTTCTACAATTTTGTAAATTTCTGATATCCTCTGCTCTGACAATACATAAGGATGTGAACTAGAGAAAAATGTTAAGCCTACACTGTACAGAAGTTTTTTTTTTTTTTTTGTCCTTTTGTTTTTTACTGTGCATCAAGTTTGTGAAAATATTCTGGTTACTTACAGTATTTTGTTGTTGTTAAAGGTATTTCTTAATAAAATGTGAAAATAAATATTCATGTCAGTGCCTATTATCAACAAAGGCACATTTGTCACTATCTGTGTTGTTACTTATAGACTCAAATTTGTAGAAAAGACTGAATGTCTTTAGAGCTCATCATTCTTGCAGTGTACATTGTGAATCACTTTAACTGTTTCTGAAGGTCTCACCATCATCCATGCATACTTGCACAGTTTCTCCTTGTTGCAGTCCTTTTGCCAGTAAATAACATTCCTGCGATTCAAATTAGCACCTGCACAAGCATCATACCACCAACCCCCTCCCGGCACACCTTGAAACTCCAGCTTGGCACAATTTTGGAAATAGTTATCATTGTCTCTATCTTTCGTCGTAAACTTCTGGTTGTCGTGAAGGTAATTTTCTGTGTCTAGGGTCAGAGCATCCACAGCTGTGCCCTGGAATAACCCCAGCCTCAACCTGTAGCCTGTTGATTCATCCTCAACTTGAAAGGGATCATACTCTCCAGTCTTGGTGACAGCATCTCTGTCTACGAGTTTCACTCCCAGTTTATAGCGGACAGGGCCTCGAGTGAGCTCATAGAGGTACTCGTTCCCAAGCCAGTGATCTCCTGTGACATCTCCAAAGCCATTCTTGTACTCATCCCAGGTGCGATCAAAATCCACACTGCTGTTGACAGTGATGTGCTGAACCACGGTCCAGCCTCCGTCTTGCATGGCACAATAGGCCACAACTCGGGAGTCATGTGGTTTGATCAGGTAGACCCCGTCTCTGGCTGTTCCTGAAGATGCCATGAGCATTTCATAGCAGTCTCTGGGCAACACTGTGGAGAAATAAGCATACAAGTCAGAAAATAGCAACTGAGTCAATAGCCCTAAAAGCTTTTTACATTTCTAACCTTAACACCTCAAATTTCAATCTATTTAATAGGATTTTAAGTGATAAACAAGCACAAAGTTGTGAGGTTGCAAAATATAAGGAGAAATTGGGTTTCAAAAATAAATATATACATTATTTAACTTAAGCAAGTTTTATTTACATCTATGACTGTATTGTACTTGTGAATATTAATATGTTTATCTTTTAGATTTAATTAATTCCTGATTTACTTTTTATGATGTAAGTTGAATATTCTTAGCTCTAAAGTTTTCATATTACATTTCTTCTGTTTCCTCCCAACACAGTTGTATTTCCTTAGAATCTCATCCTCCAAAGTTGATTTTTTTTTTTTGCTAATTCATTCCTTTTGTAATAATCTAATTTTGAAATTTATAGCATGTAAATATCATACTTTGTAAGAGTTTGCTAAATAAGTCATTTTATTTAAGATAAACAAGCAAAAGCTAACAGCCATCAGTTAGCTGGACACCAACTGTTTGTCTGGTAAGTTATCTCATTGAAGATAGACAATTTACCTTAAAAGAACACTTATCATCAATAAGTCACTAAATGATTTCTTTTGCAAACTGGAATTTGACCATCCACCACAACAATTATACAGATAATCTGTGATAGATTACATCTATGAGAAGCAGTCCTACTTGTGTGATTGTTTTCTCAAATCTTCAACTTTATTCCAAGAATTTGTAAAATTATCCAGATCCTTAGCTTCTTAAGACAAATAACAATAAGAGAAGTCAAAATGACAATGAAAACCTAAACAAATAAATACCTTTCATCCTGCGGTTCAAAACCTTATGGTGTTCATCTATGGAAAGAAGATTAAGATTCTCAGCTTGGAGGTCTTCCATGTCAGCTCTAGCTGCACAGAGGAGCAGCACTGTAGCCACTGTCAGCAGCCAGCATCTCCACTTCATTCTTCACTCTTTGACAAATAGGCTATGCTTGTTGTTTTAGCCAGTTAGAAGATTCAAAAACCTCTTTTAGGATTCTCAAATTAACCTCTACTTGAATTGTCTAAAAATAAAAATGCTTCCTTATAATTAAATGCAGCGAAGTAATGTTAATCCCAAATCTTCTTCCATCTGAGTGCAAACATGATTGCAGAGTTCAGATTGGGAGTCCAGTAAATATTGTTCTCCCCTGCCCACTTGCACCTGGACTTTAGTCTGTGGTTCACATCACAAAACAGACACCACCCCTACACTTATCTGTGTGTGATAAACCCACATATCATTGCATGAATTCAATCACTTCAGCATTGCACATGGGTCTGAAGTCCAGATGAGGTTTATAACACTATTAGGAAAGAATCTCAAAGTTCTCTAATCAGTCTAACTGAACTGGAATCAATCCCATTTCAACAAATATATAATGTGGTACAAACATGGTCAAAAAAGTCCATGTTAGAAAAGTTTTAATGAGCCAAGCAAAAGAGAGAATGTTTCAACTCTCCTATGACCATCCAATTTCTTAGAGCAGTGTAATAATGGCCTATTCAACTTTCAATGTCATGAGCTGCACTTTTATAAGTGCTGCATGTTCAGAACGACTTTGTGGTACACATGGCCAAGTAATGGCACTTAAGAAGTCTTACAGAAAAGACAGGACATTTAAAATGTTATTTGAATTTCTAGAAACTGGAGTTCATTTTCCATGATCTAACTGGGATAGTTAGATCATAATAGTTAGCCATTTGTCTTAGTTACAGCTGACTTCTGCCCCCCTTTGCACTGACGTTAAATGGTTCCTGAAGAAATATACATAGAATTAACCAAGCAGTAAGCATAACATCAATTAAAATGGATAAAACTCATTAATTCCTCCCATTAATTCCTACAATCATTGAAACGAGTTGGGTTTCATATTAGGTTGTTATTTTACAGTACAGTGCTTGCATAAGTAAAAATCATTGCTCCAGTTTCTCAATAAGAAAATCTATTTTGATCTGTATTTTAAGAAACACCAAAAAGAAATGATGTCTAAGTAAAACAGCAAAACATAAATGCAAAATTTTTTTCACTATGGCACTTAAAGAGAAACAATACAATCAACATTTGCCTACTTTTAGAATGATTTTTGTATCTTAGTGTACCTTCATTGTTGCTCTGAAATATTAGTGATACAGTCAACAAATCTGCAATGCAATTGAAAAGATTTTAATTTAAGAGAATAAAAGCCACCAGGTTTCTCCTCATTACTTCATTAAGTTATTTTGATCCTTCTTGGTGTCAACAAAGTTGAAAGAGATAAGACTCAACAACCTGAGGAAGGAAAAGGAGAGAATTATAATTGCTGAACAACAAATATTTCTGAAATGAGATCTAATATAAATATATGCATCCTTACTTTGGCCATGTTTTTTGCCTGACCTGTAACAGATTTTAAAAGAGGCTCCTGTTGCCATAATTCCCAAAGTTGCTGGTTAAAAACCTGGAAATTTCTATGAAGGAAAAAAAAAGAGAGAAAGTTTTTGACCTGCAACCACTATCAAGCATATAAATAATGTGTGAAATTATTAAATCAGCCTATTTCTAATCTCAGGTATAACTGAGTAAACCTCTACGATGCACCTTTGCTTTTCCTTCTAAAAGGGTGATAAACATTAAGGCATTCATGATCATACCCTATCCCAGTAAATGATTCAGTCATTTTTTTCCTTTAGTAATTGAAGTTCATTATGATTTTTTTTTTTTTGTTTAACTGTTGTTTCTTTTAAATAATATTTTGCATTTCAGGGTCATTATTTGAATATGGCAAAGTTCATCAAAACAATATTTACTCATCCAGCAGAGGTTGAGTTGATCCATTGTAACCACTTGTTTGTAGTTCTTCCCGCCAGTTCTTTAAAACTGAACATATCCATTTAAAACCAACAATCAGATACCTACAAGGAAACAAATCAATCCTGTATAAGTCCAGCTCCTGCATGTTTCCTCTTGTAATACAAACAATTTTTTTAAAGACATATTTTAGTCTTTTATTATTATAATACTAAGCAGATCACTTACTCTTCATAGGGAGTGCTGAGGACTTTTCTAACTAAAGGAAAGAGGTCAACACAACTGCCAATGTTAATCCTGGGCGAGTTCTCATCAATGCTGCGGAAGAAGAAGAGGATTCTGAATTTAATGTTCTTGTTTTGAAGATGTCTGTATAAAACAAAGCTTACCACTTGCAAATAATTGGCAGGAAATCAACAATCACACCAATGTCCTGGATTCTGTAGAAAGAAAATGATGTGAGTGTACACTGAAACTTTGCAGGACTGAAACCAAAACGTCAGTACATACTTTAAAAAATATGTCAACAGTTCCCCAACATTCCTCCTCCATAATGTTAAAGCCACCTTAAGTCTCAGATTTCTTCCAAACAAAACATCAGACATTGTGCTGTGATCCTTTCTGAGCTGAGAAAACAAACTGTAATTCAGACAGTGCCACACAAAACCAAGCATGGTACAAAAATGTGTGGTCAGCTACAGTTACCTCAGTGAGTGTATAGTAGTCAGATTGTTCAGAACCAGTTCCACTGGTTTTGTAGTTATTGACATTTGTTGAGACGTCTGATGGATCATTAAAGTATGTTTCTCGTTGTGTGGCTTGTGAGCATTTCATATCATTTTCCTTGTTTGCTGCATCAGAACCTCTCCCAGGTCCGAGCTGCTTTCTTCGAGCTACGGTCATGTGATGGGTCTTCCTTTTACACGACACGACCCGCTTCACTCTGCCTGCATTGTTGCCAGACCTGCTTACTGAATGCCTGGTAAAGGGAAAATAGTCAGAGAACCTGGACTAGAAGTACAATCCAACAATCTTGAGGAACGACAAAATATGAAGAGCACACCTCTTTCTGTTGAAGTCCTCGTGTTTATCATAATCTGCCTGTAATAAAAAATATGTGAGGATAGTAGGGGTTCTGATTAATTAAACAAAAAGTCCAAGCAATCACAAATAGGTTCATTTGATTCAGCTGACCTCTTCAGAGCTCCTCCTATGAGAATAGCTTACTGTGTACTGTGCTTCATCATAATGGAAGACATGGTTAGGATTGCGGTCTCTCCTGTCTTTACTGCTGGAGTCCATCAAATCTGTATAGAGAAAAACAAAATTATATGAAACAGATATGTTTTTTTCTAAACCAGACTTGAGGTCATAAGGAAAAATTAGTTTCTAGTATTGGATTTCAATATAAATTATTTTTTCAAAGTAATATAATGAGATTTGTGGAAAAAATATTATAATAAATGCTTTAAGTGAATATATATATATTACAATGCAATAAAATTTATTATTATTATTTTATTTATTTATTATTTTTTATTGGTCGGCACTTAAAAGGACTCAACTTCCCAGAAATCCTTGGGTCTGGCCGGTTTTCCTGCTGTGACGTATTTAGAAGCTAAGGTCTAAACAGCGGAAGGTTGTTTTTGAGTTTGAAGTTTAAGCATTTAAACATAGTAACCTAGCTCAAGCCGAAGACTTTGGGGACTTAAGGACTGCCATTTTACTATGTTTTGTCAAATAGTAAGTGCTGAACTTAAAAGACGAAATAAACAGTTCTTGGCAGTACGCAGGGTTACAACGTAGTCGTAAATTCGCAGCAGCCAAAAAATACAGTTTGCTAACAGCTGGCTTTACAAACATCTGTGAACAAATTCAAATTGTATGGTTACAGTTGCCACAGCTAAAACAAACTCTGTAATAACGAGGATCACTCATTAAATTACACTTAATGTCCTACATTGCTTAGCAGTTGTACTCACCGTGTTAGCTTGCTTTAATGTTGGTACTGGAAAGAATTACCTTGTAATCTGCCAGTTTGCAAGGGCTGCATAGTTACCGCCCAGCAAAAAAGCATGAATAAGTCAAAGCACCATCTGCGGGATTGTACACCCTCTAGCGACTATTTACTTTGTACTTTTGCATAATTTAAACACAATCAGTAGGTTTACTGAAGTAACCACATCGCAGTTGATGTTTGCAGGTGCTTCCCAGTGGTTGTGATTAAAACTAACCTTCATGAGCCGTCACATATACAGTGTTTTTTGCCACCTCACTTCATTGATCACAGGCAGGTCCTGACATGCACTTCAGTTTGCTTTTACACTACTTGCTCCCAGAGTGCACAGCGAAAAACAAGATCAGCTGATTTTAGGTACACATCATTTGTTTTTGTATGTTCTGCTGACTAAGCTTCTATTTTTTTTTTTTGGAGCTGCAGTTTCAACATATGAGCTGACAGCTACAGACTTAACTGTTGTGGACTTAATCAGCTCCTTTTGAGGTCAGTTATGAGGCAAATTTTGAATGTGATGTGAGTTTAGGTGTGGCAATCTTAAAGGGATCAAGTGATTAAAATGTCTCCACTGTTTCTTTTCGTGTTTGTCTTTATCAGACAGCAACCCGGTGGTAGAATGGTGTCTGTTCAAACTGCCTCTGTTTTGTTAAGCTTTGCACCCCTGTTGGTGCTTAGTGTTCCTCCTATTTGGACCCAACCAGAGCAGGTGCATCTCTCCTATGCAGGTAGGTTTTTATCCCTTCTCTGCAAGTCATATTTACATATGGATACACTGTATTCTGTTTACTGGCAAGAATATACCAGTATGTTTGGACATGTTTTGTGAAAAGCTGTTAAGCATAAAGACTTAACCAAGTATATTTTTGTATATGTGTAACAAGTTGACCTGAGTACTGCTACAGTTTATCATAAGTCAGTAAACTCTAAATGCTGCTCTGTCAGTACATGTTCATTCTCTGTTAGTTTACAGGTGGTGATGTAAAAGCCAAACCTGTTCATCTTTTTTTATGCTTTGTCCTGCTACTATGGCAAACTTGAGCATATTTTATAGCCATTGTTTTACAACAATGAAAAACATTGTTGGTTGCAGAAAAATGACTTTCAAATTATTTCACAA